TGACTTTGATTAGTGATAGTTTTGTCAAGTTTTCATTTCTATTAGAAACCTGCCAATTATCAGGTGTGTCTAGAAGCCAGAGCATCAGTGTTTCTACTGTCACAGGCCCTGGATCAGGGAACAAAATAACTATTTTTGTTTATTCTATCAGATAGTGATTCATGGGATATGACTGGAGGAGTAAGAGTTTTAAGACTAGTGTCATCTTTAAGAAATTAGAATTCTACCTGTTGTGTGAGTTTTTGTGGGAAGGATGACCTTCAGGAAGTGTGGATATGGAACTCCCATGTATGACTGGCTTTTAATTTTGGTATTTTAGTTGGAAGGGGACAGTGTGTTCTTCAGTTGATTTTTTCCCCCCTTTTGCGATTATTAAACATATTTCTTTGCATTAGCCTATGAAGCCTTTTGAATACTTTTTGAAGCATTTTCATACTTCATAGCTTTATTTTTAGTATTTGAGAACTTTGTCCCCCCCTGCTTATAATTATGTTGACTAGTCTCCAAGGAGGTATTATATACAGTACTTTATCTTGAAACTAAAGCTAATGTAAGGATTTATCTATCTATGTATGTTATTAGTGAAGGGACTAGTTTAAAATACCTGAATATCATTTTTTCCATCACCAAAATTACACAAAAGTTAGTGTTTAAAATAAAATTGGATGGTAGATATTTTCTTGATCAAATTATATACATCATATTGAAGCCAATATACTCAGACTTGAGTCAGAATGAGTTTGCAAAATCTGGTTTAATTCACATCTGGAGAGGGGAAGGGAGCAGGTTGTGAAAATATATACGCACAGGAACCTAATCAATGCTAGACAAATAACGTATTATTAGTTTACAATACAATAGGATAACCACACATTTGAAGGCTCAAATTGAGTCCATCAGCTGTAACTACAGTTTTATATTTGGCTCAATTGGCTATTGAATATCAAGTGGTGCTGAGTTCCTTCAAAGCACCTAAGGACCCCCCCCTCAGCCTTGGAAGGAGTTTCCCCACAGTCTCAGAAGAAATCCCAGTTGTGCCTTTAATTCTTTTGGCCCTTGGGAGTCAGCTTTCCAAATACAAATGCAGGCCAGGGATTTCCAATGGCCACATTATTATTGCACGGAGAGGTCTGTTCTAAGCCAGACTCTTATGGCTAAGGAGGTGTGAGATTAGCCCTTAAATAGTGGTCTAGCATTAACATGGTCTATAAAAGCATGTTAAGAAATAGCTCCTTAGTGATTATGTACCAGCTACTAGTTATCACACTAACAGAAAAAGCAACGTGGCAGCTTCACATTTCACATGAAAGACTAGCATTAACTGGGCCTGGCTTGCTGGCTTAACGTTCACATAAATCTAGTGATATTGTTTTAAATTAGACCCAGGAAAAATGATTTCATACCAGTCTTTTCTTCACATAAGGCTTGTGTAGCATTAAAATTGTTACGGGTTAATGATTGGGCCATGAAGGCAAAAATGTGTAACTTTCCTTAGCCAAAACAGAAACATCCCTGTTCTGACTCCTGTCCAGTTTCCCAAAAAAACAAAACATACACCTTTGTTATTGCACATCTTTCACACAGATTTGTGTATGTATAATATACATCTATATATATAATTAAATATGCTACACACACACAAAAAAAACTATGGCACTTTACAGAATACATGTTTAACAAAGATATCACACCACAGGTGTTTGAAAACTACAAAAACCCTTAAACAATTCATGTAACGTTGTAAAATTAGCACACAGGTTTAAAGAATCCACAGAATCCAAGTCAAATATTTCTGCTTCCTTGGAGTTCACTGAGAAGGCCAGCCCACCATGAAACTTTCCTTTAAGCACAAATGAAGGCAAAAATAAATAAGACTTTTCTAGTAGTAGTAGTAGTGGTCCAGCTACACTAGACATTTAGAATGAGGTGATGAGGTGATTGATAGAAATTCATTAGGAAATTAGGTGTGGGTCAACAAACAGTAATTGTTTCTAACTTTTTTTCCTACCACATTCCTCATATTCAGTGGTTGTTAAAACAGCTGTGCAGAAGAGTTTTTAGCCTATAGTAGCATGATTTTAGACATCCATCCCAACCAAAAGCATGGCTAATGGATTAAAACAAGCCCACTACCATCAAGTCAATTCTGACTCATAGTGATCTTATAATACAAGTAGACGTGCCCCCATAGGGTTTCTAAGACTGTAAATGTTTACAGAACCAGACTACTCATCTTTCTCCCCCAGAGTGGCTGGTGGGTTCAAACCTACTAACCTTTTGGTTAGCAGCCGAATGCTTTAACCACTATACAACCAGAGCTCCCTGGCTAAGGATAGAAGGTTTAAAAGATCTCAACATTTCCTCTTTACTGTCTCTGCTAGAGAAGTTTCGTTTCTGCGTATTAGAGTGTTTAGGTAGTTATCGGTGGGTTTGGGTTTTGTGGGTTTGATGTACTGTAGTATTCAAACTAACAAGATAAACACTGTCAAGTGGCTTTATTCTAGCCAAGGGAGGTCACATTTCCATTTGTGACTCAGACTGCTCTATGGCCAAAGAGCAGTCAGGCAGCAAAGATGACAACAGACATGCCTGGAGGATCCTCTGGGCTTATGACTTCTCTGTAAAGAGGACAGTGAGATTGTAAAATCAGTGTTAGCAAATAGATTCTCTGTCATCTTGTAAAGAAATAAAAGTAGGGTGAATCTTATGAATTTAAGGAAAAGGAAATATTATCTGCCTGATAAAAGGAATTGGTTTGTTTTAAATAATTATTTAAATGGAAAAAGGTTTGATAAGTAGTTACTATGCTGGCATAGGTACTTGGTGGTTGTTGATAGCTGTCAGGTTGAATTCTACTCAGGGCAACCCTGTGTGTACAGGGTAGAACTACTTCATAGTGTTTTCAAGGCTATGACTGTTTGGAAACATTGCCAGGCCTGTCTCCCAAGGCACCTCTGAGTGGGTTTGAACCACCAACCTTTTGACTTTCAGTCAAGTTCTTAGCCATTTGTGCCACCTGGCAAGTCCTAGGGACTTTGTGCATTTATAATGTTCTATCAGGGACAGAAGCCTTGTCCATTTCCGTGTGTCATCAGAGACATGGTTAATGTTTGCCAAGCTCCTACTGATATGTAGACTGCTATGAAGATACCTATTTACCCCTTCTCTTTTAAAAATAAAGTCATAGGATTTATGGCTTTCTTACTTTGAACTTGGGTCCAACAATGGTAAACTCATTCAGTCTGCCTCCCCTACCCCTAGCTATTAATCTATAAGATGGTTTCTGGAATATGCCAAAGGTCAGAATGGAGAAAAAAAAAAATGTTAGTTGCCCCATTCTATCTATTTATATAGCAGTTTGTTCAGCCACAAGGCATGGCTTTAGACTCAACAGCCCTAAGATGATTCTCTCTGGGCAAAGTTGTTGTAAAATCTAATTTAAGGTTCTATAACTGGTGGCACTTGCCACATAATACCTTGCAACTTCTATGTGTTAAATTTTTCAAAACAAAGCCTTCAAGTGAGTAGAGTCATAAGCCCAAAAAGAACCTATACTTTTAATCTTTCCAGCAGTCTGCCTGGTCCACCCCACTTGCTTGAGTCACATTTTTATATTAATGTGCAATTCTGAAGCTTAAGGTTATGTCAGACTTGGTTCTTTCTGGCTACTGTTCATTTCAAAATAAATTTAAGGTGATGGCTAATACCATCTTCTTCCCTGAATTTATGGAAACTAGATTAATAGCTCCTGAATCTTTTAAAATAGTGGTGTTCAATACTTTTTTGTAAACAGGTGTAGGCCAGTATTTTGAGCTTGGTCTAGCTCTTGTTTTGCATTGACTTTCTACTCTGTGGTTTCCTGGGAATGAAGCCTTTGATACAACTCTCCAGTTGCAGCAATTTAATGTTACTTCAGTCAACTTTCAGGATCCATACTAGTAACTAGAAAAACTTACTTCCATGACTAGCTCCCTTTTTTTCCTGTAAAGAATGCCATTCTGCTGCTGATGGGGTTATAAATACAGCCGACTACAGCCTAGTTACTAAACAATGGGAAACGGCTCCCCTCAAGTGCTGAGATCTCAGGCAAGTCATCCCAGCCAACATCTGAATGAGCCACAACTGGCTTGGAGACCTTTGACCCTGGAATGAGGAAATAACATGAGGTTGCCTTTGGCAGTCAAAGCACAATTCTAACCCTGGAAGAAAAACATGTGATTTTACAGTGGCAGAGGAGACTGGCCAGTATTGGCCCTAGCCTGGTGCTGGGAAGACAATGACTCTGTGTTCACTAGCAGATTTTTTACTTTTATATTCTCATATGATTGTTCAGGTGATGATGTTTTCTTTACTCAAATTTCTAAAATCTTGGAGGGTCAGTTCAGTTAATTCATCCTGGAATTCAGCCTAGACATAGTTCCACAACTGGAGCCCACACTGTCCTTGCTGACCCTTTGGTCAGCTAAGTAAAAGTGTCTCCCTATGCCCTTTAACACATATGCTATCCCCGGTAAGTCTGTAGTCTTCATTTTAGTCTCCAACCCAGACAAGTTATAAGGGAGGAAAACTAAAACACCAACCCAAAACCTTATCCTGAGACAGAGATGCTCACAGGCACACAAACTTGTGGCAGAAACAGGATCTCAAACCAGCTTGCAAATCTGGCTAACAGTCTCTTCTATGTCCAGAGAGACTGCTACCTTAATGATGGAGATCATTACTTCAGTGAGCCCTGGGGGAGATGGAGTCTGACAGAACTTGTCACCATTTACATACTATTTTCAGGTTCTATGCCTTAAAATTTGTACTGTGGCCCTCATGTCCAGTAAGTCCGTTTAGCTGGATGTTGCCTCTCATTGGTCCGGCTAAGGCCTGGGCTGTGGAATGTAGTTTTGGTAGATGAGGCTAGTTCTCCCCTTGACTCAAATGATGAAACAGGAGGTGGATTGTTTCACAAGGTTATACAAAGAAGAAAATGGTGTTAATGTCTCTCTTCCAAACTAAAGAAGGCAGATAAGGTTTTTCCCCTCTTCGATCTCTTCCTGTACTTTGTCACTGGAGGTTGCAATTTCTGCTTGTGCGGAGAAGACAGCACAGATGAAGGTCAGGACCGTGCCACCAATGGCAGTATAAAAGGCCCAGCCCAAGGAGCAGTCTCCAGGTTTGTAGGCAGACGCATAATGTCCACAGTAGCCTATGGCCTTCTGGCACCCCCAGCCAGCCGGGTAGAGTATCAAGCCCAGGATGAGGAACAGACCTGCAGGGAAGAAGAGAAAACAATGACCAAATTAGGTGGCAAGTGCAGTGGTTGTAAATGCAGCAGGTGGCAGGTATTTTTCCAGCCCAGGCTCTGTTAGGAGCTACCACCAGGGCTAGGACTAGGGTGAGGCAAGTGACATGTTCAAGGTACAAAAGTGAAGGAGGTACTCACCCTCAGGTGCCCACCCTGTACCTGCATGAGCTTAAGAGTACCTCACTTGCTTCACCCCAGTCCAGACCCTGGCTGCCATTCACACAGCAAAAGCTTCTTATGGGCAAGTTCAGAACCTGAAATGACAAAGGCATCTTATACTCAGAATAACTTTCTTGGTAGAAAGTCTTCCTTAAAGACCTTTGTTTCACCTGTAAGATTCTGCATGATGAGGGTGGCTTTATTCTCTGTGGCAGAAAAAAACCTTTTCTCTAAAAAATCACACCTATATAATCAAAATTGCTAAATCATAACCCAAAGTCCTGTTTTTTAGATACCTTGGAAAAGCAAATCTATCCATAGGGATAAATCATGGCTCTAAGTTCCATTTCTCTTCCTACTTGAAGTAAAATTTTCTGGGTTTGCCACACCAAAGTACAACTTCCAAGTACAGCAACTTTCTACAAAGAGAACATGACTGAACTATGGTAGCTAGAAGTCTGAAGAAAACGTTTCAGGCCCTGCTTCTTCAGAGCTGAATGACTTCTGGTCATAACTTTCATAGCTGTGTCCATCCTGTAATGCCACTTCATGGCTAGACTGGGTTTGGGGGTCTGGTTGCCCCTGCTTTCTAAATTGATCCCACTGTGCTACTCAGATGATGGCCTAGGGGAGGGGAATTGTCTAGCAGAGGTGCAGTCGAGGGGATTCATTCATATGGCTCACTGTCTGAGAAGGGTGATTCACCAAAGAAGTCTTTCTAACCCTGAAGCTCTCAATTTCTCACTAGGTCTCAGTGTTAAGAGTAGGCAAGTTGTCATGTGTAGCTGAGGAAATGTGATCCAGTATTGGGAAGCGCAAGCAAGCTGGAGAGGAGCAGCAGAATGAGGCATCTCGGAGAGAGTGTTAGAAATGACTGGGAACAGGAAGCCAGTTTCCCCAAGGATAAAGGCAGCCAGTGGAGAATGCTGGGATATGAAAGGCCTTGAATCTTGGTTGGTCTTCACAGTCAAGACAAGGGATAGAAATCATGTAGCAGAAATGCCCCTGTTGGCTAGCATGATGGCATGGCAAAGACTCACTAAAGAGAGAGAGAGATTAGTTAGTAGTTTAGAACCCTGGTTTTGGAGTAAATACAAGTTTGAATCCAGACTCTGCCATCTAGGAGCTGGATGACCTTAGAAAAGTTTCTTAATCTGAATCTGGTTCATCACCTGTGACATGGGGCTAATCCTTACCTCACAAAATGGTTGTGAGTACTGAAGTCTGAAAAGAGTGCTTTCTGTGCCCAAAGAACATTATCACAACTGGAACATAGACTAGCAGCCTGATGTCGAATTAACAGACCCTCTAGGGATAAACACCAGCAATTTAAAGTTTATCAGTTATGAATAAGGAGATCAACTTCTTTTTGAAGGTATATTTTGAAAGGTGTAATAATTTGGGGAGAAGGGAGGACACCAGGCTACAATTTAGGACCCTTGAATGCGTAAACTATTCTCCATCTGAATAGAGGTTTACTCAGCTGGGGAGACCTAAGATGATATAGCCAATTCTTTTTAGCATTTCTAAGGCCTAAGATAAGCTTGGATTAATCTTGACTGCATGGCTGCCTTGTTTTCTAAGAAGCCTCCCCCATCCTTGGGTACAGAAGGATTGGATTTGAGGGAATGGCCAATGTTGGAGTGTACTATGTAACACTTGGTAGTTTCCCTCATGGCCCTAATTTCCACACTAGGCCTTCTGTAAAGCTTCCCCTTGCTCAGGATGCAAAGGCACTCTATTGCATGCAGCCTCTGCTCTCAAGCTTCAAGAGCAGGCTGCAGGTAATGAGCATTTTAAAAGACCAAAGTGTTCATATTTGAGTTGTGCCTCCAATTAAATATGAATTGCACATTTTATTTTTTATTATGTGGCTTAAACAAGGCCAGTAAGTAAAATGGGTGCACTTTACTTCATTAGGGACAGAAGACAGAAAGCTTCAATTTCGTTAGCAGCAGCAGCTCTACCACCCAGACCTGGCTCTGCCTGGTTGTAGGACATACGAAGTGCCTGAGTTTGGCTGTCACAGATGCTTTTTGGAGGTAGGCACTTAAATAAAAACAGAATCCTTATTTTAATGGCATCAGACCCCTTTCAACAGAGTGTTGAGCCCAGTTGGGAGCATTCACGTCCATCCATCCAGTAGTTTTGCTTAGCTCTCTTAAGTTTTCCCTTTTCTAATAGCTCAGATGCTTTCCCTGAGGCACCTTGGGCCATTTAAAAATCTTGTTGCTGCTACTGGCACAATTTGTTAATCAGGACAGCAGAGAAGATTTGCTTATGATATACAGGTGCCATACTATTGAAAGCCTCGGCTTGACTATAAGGCCACAGTACAGTCATGCCGGAGGACACTAAAAAGCTGAGATGTGATTTGTCTGCAAGGCCCAGTAGATGTGATGTGTGCTGGAACCACATGCTTCCAACCTAGGCAGCCAGCCTAGACAAACACAAGACTGCCTTATCCAAATTATCAATGGGAGGAAGTCCACTGTCTATCCTGCCCTGACCAGCAGGGCCAGAGTGGACCTTTCTCTCTCATACTCCTTGCTCTCCACTTTTCTTGGGGCAGGAACCACTGGCACCCTAACAAGCATCTGTTCTTCACAAATGTCAACCCCACTGATTCTTTCTGTTCCCTAGAAAACTGCTGAGGAAAAGCCCACAAAGCTTTCTCAACTATCAGATAAATTCCAAATTTCTTTCCCTGGCCTTAAAGGCCCTATATGATCTGGGTCCCTATCACCTCTCTGAACTCACCTGTACCTTTCTTAACCTGGCTCGCTCTGCTGCAGCCACACTGGCTGTCTAGATCTTCCATGAACACACCAGACATGCTCAAGTCTTTGCACTTGCTATTCTTTCTACCTGTATGCTCTTTCCCAGTAGCTTTCAGATCATCTTTGGTTAAATGCCACCTTCTCAGTGTGGTCTTCTGTGCTACTCTATTTAAAATTTCAATCATCCAACTCTCCCCTACACTTCCTTGCTTTATTATTTCTCCTTAGCATTTACTATTAACGTAGTAATAAAAAGAACGCCATGACTCAAAGTATATATTACTTTGAGTCATATGAAACTATCAATGCTTGCTAATATTATTACCTACAAAAGTGACCATTTCATATGGCTCAACCTAATGTTTTACTTAATTAGTTTGATTAGTATATGAATGAATCTATCCTAGATCTTAAGCTCCACGAGGGCAGGGAGTTTTCTATATTTGATTTACTATTGTAAAGTCAGTGCCCAGAATAGTGCCTGGCTAATAGTAAGACCTTAATAAAATTTTATTGGATATTGATAATATTTGTTCTATAACAAATATTTCTAAACAATAATACCACTGGGGTTGAATGGCAAAATAACTTTTCAACAAATCAGTAAGAATGAAGTGTGTTAGCAAGAAGGACAATGGTGATCCCTAGTTGGTTGGCTTATCCTACCACACTGCTTTGTTCTAGATCGCCGAGACCCTGGGTCTAGAAGGAACTGTGTCCTCACTTCCAGATGGGCTTGTTGACACCAGGTCATGAAATAGAATTAAAATCAGTGACTTCTTAAATTGGCATATGAGACCAAAGGGAAAGAATACAGTAAGACACAAGGAAGTTTACCATAATTCTGGTATTCCTTGTCCTCAATTTGAAGTGTACCTAGAGACTATAAGCTTGGTTGTGGGTTATGTCCAGAGGCCAAATGGAAGGTAGAGTATGCTCTGGATTGAGTTTCACATAAGAGCTTAACCAGACATGGTCTGACCTCCCTCTACAGCTATTAAAAAGCAGTTGCCGATGTTAGGCCAGCCTCCAGTGGCGTCAAGGGCCTTTCTATCACCTTGCCTTATTATACCATTGGGATATGTGCGTGTGTGGTAGAAGGTGACAGAAAAAGTGAAGGACTAAGTATTTACTTTTCTTCTGATTAGCATGTCTCCCTGGTGCCTGGTTGAGCTGCAGCAGGCCCAGCTGGGAGGAGGAGAAAGAACAGTGAGAACTATAATGGCCAGCAACCAAAGCAAACAGCCACCATAGACAGAAACCATAAGTAACAGGAGCTAGTGACCTCTGACAGGCTTGACCTGGTAAGATGAAAGCCCAAGAAGGTACTATTTTAATAACCTGAAAAGATACTCTCAGCTTTTTCTCCCTTGCTAACAGCTTCCCAGCTGATTGTACCAAGAGGACTAGATGATGTCAGCATATGTTGGCCCTGGGTTGGGGAGAGGGAAGGTGTGACTCAACCTTATCTGTTGTTGTTGTTGTTATGTGTCCTCGAGTCAGACCTGATTCATAGCGATCCCTCCTTGGGTTTCTGAGGCCAGAAGTAGATTGCCCAACCTCCCTTCTGAGGAGTGGCTAGAGGGTTTGAACCGTCAATTTTCTGGTTAGCAGTCAAGTGCCTTAGGCACTATGCCACCAGAGCTCCTCAACCTTATCTAGGGAAGAAAAATAAATACATGGCAAGAAACTGACAGTCATTTGGACTGCCAGATAGATACCACCACAAGCTAGAGACAGCCCTGACAACCTCACTAGCAAGTACCTTATGGTGTTGGCTTTCATGATCAGATGAGTGCTCCCATCCTGCCCCTCCATATGCCCCCCCTGGAAGGATCTTTCAGATTTAATCCTGGATTCCCAGCAACTCTTCCTGCACAGGAACTTTTAGAGTCTTTATGGAGAACATAAACATTTAGTTTGGGTTTAACTCAAACTGTGAGCCCCGTGAGGGGAGGAACTGTGTCTTAGCATTGCAGTTTACTTATGACACAGAATATACTTAAGAAATAAATGAAACACATC